TATATATATATATATATTGGACATATAATAAATACATTGGATATTTCAAATATCCAATTTTTTGTTCTATTATTGTATTTTATGTGTAATTCCATTTATGAATGGAAGTCTATGTGTGCATGAGAATGAAGATACATACTACATACATAGGGCAAATAGGAACAAAAAAGCGCTCGGTTGTTTCTTCCCGGAGTAGATATTAAATCGTACCAGTAAAGGTTGTATTGAACGCATCTTATATTTATGCACAAAACTAGCTCATTAATCGTACTTTCGTAAAAGCAATGTAGTAGTAATATAAATGTTTGTCAAACTAGTTTGAAAGCCGCACCGGTAAGTTGTATAACGTTCTCTCTCAATGTTTCGGCGTCACAGAAAGTTTCGGCAGCATTTTTGGCCTGATTATAGGTTGCAAAACTGCAGTTTGGTTAGGTTTGATGTTCTTTATTAATGATTTACGTTGCTTAATTAATTAATGTATTCATTACTCGTGATGAAATAATGATGAGACGCGCCAACAGTTGCTCTTGAAACGTCTTTTGTGATATTAGACCACTTTAGGGTTTACTCGGCTATGACAGAGATTCTACGCAGAATCCACGGTGGCTTTCTAAAAGTGGCCCTGTTCCCCAGCAGCTTTGGGAATAAAGCGCCTCGTCCTGCCGCCTCTGAAGTACTAACATGTCACCTCACGCAGCGCGCGCTGCCGCCCTGGACTTCATTCTGCGTGCGCTACAGGGATGTCATCAACGACCAATTCGGTCTGTCCAACTTCAACTGGCAGGTGCAGGGAGCGAACTACCACATCCTTAGGACCGGTGCTTTCCCTTTTATCAAATACCACTGCACCAAAGCACCTCCACAGAACCTGGAGTTTGAAAATAAGTTTTTTGGGGCATTGAAAGTCATCAATCTAGGTCAGTTAAAGTATTAGTTACACATATTTTATTTTTTGTTTCTGACAGCACACTAATACATTTCTAATGTTTTTCTCTCTCTCTCTTTCTTCAAGGTATCCCATGCTTGGCATATGGCTTGGGTTCATGGATGGTAGTTGGAGTGACAGAGACAGTTCAGACCTCTGCAGGACCTGTTACGGTTTACTTTGCATACAAGGAGGTGGAGGGTGCTCAGTTTTAATATCGGAGACAATGAGTATTTGAAAAGAAGGACTTGAGTTTTACAAGAAAATGTTTGTCACAGACTGTCTGAAAATTTGTACGAATGGCCAAGAGCGACCTGAAATACACAAATGCACTTTTGCAACAAAAAAAATAAATGATTAATTTTAAACTTTGGAGTTTTCTTTTCAATATTACACATTTGTATTTATTAATTAGTATTAATATCAGATTGATAACTACAAGTTAATTAAAAAGTAATAATAAAAAAAACTAAATATAATATTTATTTATCAATAGTATTTGACAAAAAAATGGGAAATTAGTGAAGCCATATACATAACCAACTAGATAAATGATAAAAGAGATTAAAACTGCTGATTAAAATTTTGATGAGAATGTTCAAGAAAATGTAATATTTTCAAGGTAAAGGTATGGACTTTATTATATGTCTTTTATTTTTTTATCAAATTGGCTATTGTGTTGCTCATCCATTTGGTATAAATAGGCAAGTTTATTTTGAATTTTGACAATTGCACTTCTTTGACAAGTCAAAAGATGTTTTTTTTTATTAAATGGATTTGTCACACATGGTATGCAGATCATTCTGCCATTATTGTGATAATTAGGCATTATTGTGATGCATCTGATGTTTTCTTTGAAGTTTACAAGCTCTGCAACTCCTTGTTTTCCCACTTGTTTTCTTCCCTAAAGCTAATGCAGAATTTTAAATACCTTCAGCTCATTTATTTAAAGTCAAATTAGAGCTCACGCCCTGCCTGGCATATTGTCAATAGTTAGCAAGAGGGATTGTTTGGAGGACAGGTCTGATAAAATGGTTTTTAATTACAATAGAGGAAGTGTGGCCTTCGTTCAGGACCCACCCTTAACCCCCTCCCCCTGTCATTCTCAGATGCTTTGATTTCTGATAATGTACTTTGCTAACTCTGGCTCTCTTCTGCAGGATCCTTCGTCACATTACCTCTGAGATCGGCTTTGACAAACTACCATATTGATTCTCAAAGCTTTCTGCTGAGCACATTTATCAGAGGCCTCGATTTTCTGGCCTTGCCGCCTTCTCTCTTTGGTAGCAGTACCAAAGTAATCATTTCATGTATTACATGTAAATCAATGGACCTCTTGGCCTTTGTCTTACAAACCATAATTCCAAGGGATTTTGATTTGACTGAGTCATTGTGTAATGACTAAATCTAATATGAATTATGGCATTTCATGGTTATAACAGAGTTTCCGTGGGTCTTAAAAAGTCTTAATTCACCCTTCCACAAATGAAGTCTTTGAAAAGATCTTAAATCGGAGCAGAGAGTCTTAAATTCATAAAGTCATGGCATTAAATGGTGAATGCACTGCATGAAAATTTATATCTTTCTCAGTATTTTTTGTCATTTTCCTGTGCAAATACCTAAACATTCTTAAATCATACTTGAGATGCAAAATGAAGATAGGAAATTGAACAAAATTGAGTTTATACCTAATTCAAGGGAATATTTATTCTTGTTTTAGGTGTATTTTTCTGAGCCCTTTGGCAGATATTTGTTCTTGTTTGAATCATAAACTCACATTTTGCTTCTCAGTGTATCATGATTTAGAAATCTTTAAACATTTGCAGTGGAAACAAGACAAAAATACAGAGGAAGAACTTTTTCCAATTTGATCAGAAGGTGCAGTAAAAGTTATTTCCATATGGTTAAAGTAAAAAGTATTGGAAATTTGTTGAATGTTTGAAGTGTTGCTAATACAACTTACATTTACAGTATATTTTGATGTGTTCACTTTAATTTATTCCTTATGTTTTTTACTTGGTCTTAAAAATGTCTTAAAAGTCTTAAGTTAACCTTCAAAAACCTGCAGAAATCCTGTAGCCTATAATGAGTTACCAATAACCCTTAAAAAGAAATTTTATCAAATTTGAAAACAAATGACGTATTACTGTCTATCATTATCATTGAGTTTATTACATACCTGCCTCCTTATTCCCAATATATATTCAGGCAGGCAGCCCCTATATTACATCATCAGTGAGGGGGCTAATTGGCCTTAATGGAATCATTTAGACAGGCAGCAAAATCTGATCAGCATGTTTAGCCTGAACAGCCAGCTTTTCCTTTTCATGTGAGTTAGCATGAGTGCCGAAATGCTGCGTGGGGAATGCTCAGGGAAGCATGTCTTAATTCCTCATTGACTCTTTGACCTTTTCCTCATCGCTGATACTGTAGCAGACCTGGAGGAGGAGTAGAGTATCACAGCGCGGTGACAGGCCAGGCCTTTGTGGCTTTGACAGGCTGACGTGAGCTCTGAGAAACTCAAGCCCATGTCGTGGTGTTCCTGTTTTTGGTCAGGCCCACAAGTGTGGTGCCAAGCCACAGGAGATGACATTAGTCTGAGCAGGTGCTTATCACTTACACCTCACCTCGGTCAACGGTCTAGGATAACGGAGCAGCAAATTGGCTACTGTAAAGTAACGGAAAATTTAACGGTGCCACGTTAAGAGATCAGTGCCTTGTTTTAAGGACCGTGCAATCAAGACTCGTGTTTGTAATTGGAGGTCTAAATTACCCTCTCTTGAATATAAGGTACTAATCAACAAAGGATTAAGCACTTGTATTAACAAGTTCAATTACATGCAAATAAAGGAGACCAAGTTGAAATCTTTAAATACAAACACTATTTACATCTTAGGTAACTAATGAAAATGTGAAAGCTGGATTTAATCGTAATATGGGGGGGTGATTCGGAGATACATGGTGTATAATCTATTATTTAGCAAGAAAAATCACATTAATTTTTGGTTGACATGGAGATGTACATCATCTGAAAGCTGAATAAATAGCTTTCCATTGATGTATGGTTTGTTAGGATAGGACAATATTTGGCTGAGATACAACTATTTGAAAATCTGGAATCTAAAAAAATCTAAATAATGAGAAAATCGCCTTTAAAGTTGTCCAAATGAAGTTCTTAGCAATGCATATTACTAATCAAAAATTACGTTTTGATATTTTTACAGTAGGAAATTGACAAAATATCTTTATGTAACATGATCTTTACTTAATGTCCTAATGATTTTTGGCATAAAAGAAAAATCAATAATTTTGACCCATACAATGTATTTTTGGCTATTGCTACAAATATACCCCAGCGACTTAAGACTGGTTTTGTGGTCCAGGGCCACATATAACACTTTTTTTTTATTTTTATGACTGTAACTCAATTGGCCTATTTGGTTACACCATTTATTTCAAACTTCAAGAGTTTTCCATATTTATCTGCCATAAATTAAAGTTTTGAAATCTTAAACTTATCCCTAAACTATGTAAATTAATGTCAAGTACAAAGAGTGCTTTTGTCACAAATTGAGTTGTAACTTGGGCAGTTTAAATTTCTACATGTGCTTATTTTATTACATCCCCCACCCTATTCCATTTTAAGCATTCCATTTCAAAAATTATTAAGGGAAAATATAATAATACTTTTGCATTTGTAAATGCATTTACACAGACTGTATACTTTGATACTACAGGCCGAGGTGGGTCTGGGAAGGCTGAATTTAGTCTTTGAGCAGGCACAGAGCAGCCTTAACTCTGTTGTGTAAAGACAGCTTTAGTCACTTTCACAATTGTCAGATATTGACTTATACACTCTCCAATTTTTAAGTTTTTGTGAGATAATTTTAAATAAATTGCCATTAGTGTTGCAGACCTCTCTGTTTGCTCTGCCATACTATTTCTAGTTAAGTGTGTGTGCTTGTTTTTAACGTTTAGGTGATAGTTTTGAGTAATTGTTACATATTCAATTAAATGAGAATCTGATTCATATGATGCCATTATATTATTTTGCCTGCATTAATCTGATCAACCAGAAATGTTATACCTCAAAATAGTTTTTTGCCATGTTAATCCTTTATATTTTATATTCAACTGCCATCTTAGGAGGAAGGAAGTCATGTATGATGGCGATTTCATCGCTGTACTTTCCAAGTGTTGTTGTTGTTACAACTGACCACATGCTACAACCATTCCTGGTCTTCCCTAATGCCCTGTGATAGTAAGTATGTTTTAATAGAGAGTTCCCTTATTGCACCATGTTAGCATAGCATTATCAGACAGAAAAATGAAAATGGATTTAGTGCAATTGTTAAAGCCTTAGTGATTTCTGTGTATTATAATTGCTGACCTCACACCACTGAGGCTGGAATTACTTGATGTTTTTTTCCACATGCTATTGGGTGCTGAGAGTGGTTCTTATAGAGAGGGGAAAAGCCATTAAAAATCTATTAAAGCAGATCTTTTTACCCAGAGGGGAAAGCCTTCTCATTACTAAGCAGATTGGAAGGGATGACAAGTGGCTCTATATTTCTATTTTATTTTCCTTTCTCCTTTTTTTTCCCTCTCTGCATTTTTTATTTTGAAAAGGCCAGCTGAAAGGCAGCATGCCCACTGTGCCAATCAGTATTTCTACAGGCTGCAGGTGGTTCCAGTGGCTGTCAGTCATGCGAGGCACTGACCCTTTCAAGTCTGGATATAGGCAAGCGATTTACGATTCACGCAGAACAATTCCTCAAGGCCATCTCTGAAGCGCTCTTTAGTTGGTGTTTAAATAAATGCAACATTAATTAATGCAGAAGTTCATTAAAAAAGTTGTTCATTTGAAGTGCACAGTGCAGATGATGTTATTTATGAATGCGTGTTAATACGTGCTTTATGTTAATGGCTTATCATCTGACTGGCACATCCGTGCAATCTCTTAACGCGTTGTCTGCATTCATGTTTTCTGTTTTGATATTTTCGAACATTTAGCTTAATGCATTGTTTTTGGTTCTCCTTCGAGCTGATTACAACTTCGCTTGTGCGTCTCCCTTGGAGTTTGGAAGATGCCTCGCTCATATTTACTGTTTACAGTGTTGACATTAAGAATAATGGATACTAATGGTGTCTCCATGAATTATTGTGAGAGTTAAATGAACTCTCCATTTTATTATATATTATGCAGTATTTAAAGTTTTGGGTCATTAAAAACCAGACGGCCCCATCCCCCCGCCCCAAGTTTGTCTTTTACCCCCTGCTAGTGTGCAGCGATGCCCTTGTTGCCACAGGCTACATTATATCTGTTCTTCAGAAAAGCATTGTTACAAT